TACATATCCGGGCTTTTTTAATAAAACTCCATTTAACCATAGGTTATATATATATATATATATATATATATAATTTCCACCCTGGTTCATCATGCTTTGATGATCTGTTCTCCTTGTTTGTTAGACAAAGAACTTGCTAGTATCCAAAAAAATTTTTGAAAGTAATGGATATCCTGCCAATATCATTAAATGCATTATAGACAGTAAAATCAGACACTTTAAGGAACCAGCAGATCTAGGACCTAGTCGGTGTCTGATTTATTTAAAGTTGCCTTGATATGGCAGGAAGTGTCAGCTGCTGACAGAATTTCAGCTTGTATTGAAGTTGCGTACTTTTTTCAAATGAAATCCGTGTTCCCTTCCTTTAATTATTTATAAATTCAAATGCCGATGCAAAGCGGTGTACATAGGACAAACCAATCAGAGGTTGGAAACATGGATTATGCAACATGTACCTGCTTATTTGCATTCAAGTAGTCAAAGCCGTATTTTAAGAACCACTCAAGCAGTTCACAACTCATTGATTGGGCAGCATTTACTGGATAATCCTGATTGTGCTGTCGAGTATAAGGACACATTTTTTTCCTGTTCTACATAGTGCTCACTTGGTTTACCATTTCCAAGTCCTCAAGGCTGTGTATATCAAATTCTACCAGCCGAACCTATGCAAACAAAAGGAGCATTTCATGTGTTCCTTATGTTTGATTGAGGGACTATGAGTGTTTTTTTTTTCTATTTTATACACTGTTGGAACTTTCCAATTTTTTTTATTCATGAATTTATTTACAATTAAAATTTATTTTAATCGCGTTCCAACATTCCCTCTTTTTTCATTATTATTATTATTATTATTAATGTGTCTTGATTGTGTTTGTATATCTCCAATGATAACCTTTTGAAAAATGTTGGCCAAAAGGGCTCTAAAAAGTACAATAATGACATTTATTTTGTTCAAGTCTCTCCTCTCTCTCTATATATATATATATATATATATATATATATATATATATATATATATATATATATATATATATTATAGGATATTACATTTAAACATATGTAAGACTGCTACATAAATGAATTCATGTTTTGATGCATATCTTTGAATCTCATCAGGCAGTAATAAATGAGGGTTATTACAATTTTTAATATTTACTTACAGACATTCTCTATTCCCACGAAAAAGAAAAAAGAAAAAAAAGAAAATCAAGAAAGAAAGAAAGATACAAGATATACTTATCTAAAAAGAAAAAAGAAAGACACAAGATATATTCGAAAAAAGAAAGATATAGTCTCTTCTAAAAAAAAGAAAAAAGAAGAAAGAAAATAAGAAGTGCGAAAACAAAAGAAAGACATAAGAAAGACACAAGAAAAGGAAAAAGAGAAAGATAATAATAAAGATGATATAGAAATGTAAAGAAGTGAGAAATGTAATGTTGATAATCGGTTCAACCAATCAAAATAGTCTATGTTAAGTAAGACATCGTGAAACAGATTCAAAATTCAATGGATACATATGGAATATTTGCAACAGAATTTTGATACAATGTTGACGATGAACAAACGGATGACATTTTCACTTAGGAAGCAGTGTAATTTAACAATAATTATTTAATAGTATAAAAAGTATAGTATAGTATTTTATAGTTTAAAAAGACTCTTTAAGAAATAAAAGAAGGAAAAATTTATCAAAATTACAAAACAGAAAATTAAATCAAAATAATAAAATAAATAAACTAACCAAAACTTTTAAGTACAAAAATCATATAAATAATAAAATAAGATAATAAATTATATGAAATTATACTTACTGGAGTAGAAGAGTTAACTAAAGAGTTTTATATGGGGTATTAATAAAACAAAATAATAGAAAATGTTAAAATGTTAGCCAAACGTATATACCTCTATATAAAATATTACCAGTAATGTTAGAGGAATAACGTACAAACTGTACTACCTCAAAAAATTTAACTTACTTTAAGTTTAAAAAGTTAACTACAAGGTTATTCAAAATAAAAGAAGTGATTGTTATGATTGTTAAATTTTAAAGTTTAGCAAAATTGTAGGGTCAAAGATGAAATATGCTTACAGTCTTTGATTTAACAACTCGTACCTATTTATAAATCTGATTATCTGCATTTCCTCCTGTAAACACAGAAAACAAGGTTCATATAAGGATCTACATGTTCTAGCTAGATTTAAAATTTTTCATTTAACTTTAGGGTTTTTATTTTCTTCTTTCAACTTCCAAAAATATTTTGAAAATGAAGTACTATTTCTATAAATAGCATTAGTAAAAGAAGATAGATGCTTATACCAAAGATCTTTGAAAGTGTTCTTTGTGCTGCCAATATAAAACTTTTCAATCCTTGGATTTTCTATTGAGGAAATAGATACACAAGGGATTCAGTTAAGCATTTGTCTGATAATGGGCATTGGTTAAGATTCCTACAATTACATTGATTGCTATCCCCAGCCATATTAGAATTAGTACTTGCATTATGCTTATTATTGTTAAATTGGTTACATATTTTATTGTTGTACAACTTTATTATTTTCTCAAGATTATTAGTACAACTATAGCTAAGTTTTAATGTATTTCTATTAAAAATTTTACCAAGGGGATTGCTTTTTGGTAAATGTCTGTCAATTAATTTTCAAACTTTGTACTAACTAATTGGTTAAATGGAGGTGTGTACCAGATGATCTTATTTCTATTTCTTTTATTTAAACTACCATCATATTCTATAAACTGAATTTCCAAGAACTTATACCCACTATCCCTAAGTACTTTATTATACACAGTTCTATGTTTCTCAAATACCTCTTTGTTAGAAGAGTGTTTGCTAATCTGACATTCTATGGAGGAAGGAATATGCTGGATTGCAGATGGTGGGTGATAGGAATTAGGATGGATATAGATTGGTTTAGCATTGTTTTTCATATAAGGCTGAAAATTTTCATAGACTAGATCTGTTACATCTAGAAAATCAACTTGTTTGATGTTAGTACTAATTTTTATGTTAAGATCTAAACTCATAAATTCTCGATAAATCATTTACCTAAGTTTATCAACTTTATTTCTCGTAGAGTTTTTAACAATCATAAGACCATCATCTCTATATAGCCCTATACGATCTAGAGTAATCTCTTCATAAGCAGTAAGATTATGCAAAATAAATAAACCAACCAAAGCAGAAGATTCTGCAGAATCCAACGATCCCATAGAAATGTCAAAAATATTGTCAGAATTTTTTACCCACCGTTCTTTTTTGTGGATGAGGACAGATTTCCTACATTTCATAATAATGTTTATCTCTTCATTAGAAATGTTGGAATAAACTTTGGCAAATTCCAATGCCATTGTAAAGAGTTCCTTGGATATTGAAGGGTAAAAGTTCACTATATCAAACTGAAGGTGCAGTTGTTTTTGTTATCAATGTTTTTAAACCAGTTAATAACTTCCGTGGTGCTGATCCATTGAATAAGTCCAAGTTATATATATATATATATATATATATATATACACACACACACACATACATATATATATATATATATATATATATAGTGCGATGGATAAACTGTCGTGTAAATTATGCATAAATGAAAATAATACTGACATCTCATTTTAGCAGATATATTTACCAAAATTACACAAAAATATCTTTAAATACTAAAGAGTAAATTTATTCAATAAAATTGCCATTAGCTTCGTCCATGGCCTCCAGACAACTTTGGAATCTCCTGCAACTCTTCTGGACAGTCTCCTTGTTTAAGTTGGTGGATATTGCCATAATCCTTGCCTTTAGCTCATCTTTGGTGTTACTCAGAGTTTTGTTGGTCTCTTGCTCAACTGCACCCCACACATAATAATCAAGGAAGTTGCAGTCTGGGGAGTAAGGTGGCCAGATTTACATCTGGCCACCTTACTCCCCAGACTGCAACTTCCTTGATTATGAGTGATGTGGTCACAGAAATTGTCTGACAGCCATGACTGGGTTCTCCTGTATGTGTGGCATGATGCAGAGTCCTGTTACCACTCTCTTGACCCAGGACAGCACCATCTCCCCAAGGCACTTAATGTCGGCCTCCATGTTGAATCTGAGGCCTTCACCAACAAATTCAGGAGTTCTTATCTGTAACTTCATAATCACCATTAGACTCATCCAACTCTTTCCAAATCCTCTGCACTGTCTTCAAATTGACACCCAAACACTCTGATATGTTCATATAAGGACTTTCAGCATGAATGCCAAACAGTACAACATGCATTTTCCTGTATTTTCTGGCAGAGTAAATTGGGTCATAGTACTCTTTTTCTTGCAGACATTGCCCAACTAACCCTACTATACTGTGCTGTTGACAAAATCTGAAACAAACAACATGCATTAAAAATATAAAATGGTGACAATTTACCCATAGCACCCTGTATATAAAATTGTGTATTTGGGCAGCAATTCCTTTCTTTATACATATTTCATTGAAAATGGCTGACAAAGGACTGGGATTAAGTTTTGTATTATATTTTTCTTTCATGTGTACAAGTGATTTCTTTTTTGGACATAGTGAACTGGTTTTTGGTTTATCTCGTGTCCATTATCAAGGATGTTTTTTGCCTGTTGAAATATGTAGTTTTTTTTTTGTGCTGTGTTCAGGAATTAAATTTTATTGCTATAAAATACTACATATCAAGCAAATAAAAAACCATAATGGTTATTAGATTAGCTTAAAGTGTTTGGATCCAAATATCATTTGAATAGTTATGTCCAAAATAGAAATTTCTTGGATGCATGAAAAAGAAAAAAATAAATAAAAAAATTAATAGAAAGATTAATCACAGCATCATATCAGTATATATTCCTTGAAATATATATATATATATATATATATATATATATATATATTCCTTGCCTGTTATATTTAACAAAAGATGTTTAAAATAAATGTTGCTGCCAAAAATATATATATATATAAATTAATGAGAACTATATTTTTACCTGACTTAAACAGCAAAGGGAAGAGAAGTTCCAAAAATCCAACCAATCATGCAGTTCTTCCTTCATCAGAATGTCCCCATAGTAGCGGCAAGCAAACAGAAGATGGACAAATGTCTCGTCATCTTCATTGTCCAAGATGGATTCAATAACACAAGACAAGGGAGCAATGCCAGTCCCAGCAGCAAGTAAAAACAACCTGGGAAACTAATGAAAAGAAAACTAAAAATTAATTCACACATACACACACATGCACGTGTGTGTGTGTGTGTGAGTGTGTTTTGGGTTGGAACAACAGTTTCTGTCATTTTTTTAATAGGTTTTTTCAGCACATGATTTTATTTCACATGTGACCAAAATTTATGATATATATATATATATATATATATATATATATATATATATATATATATATATATATATTCTGAAAGGTAATGTTTCAAGAGATCTTTCTATATGATTCCTATGTGGATTGGGAATTTTAAATAATTTTCTGTTAAAAATAAAAATGAAGGAAAATGAGATGCATTTTCATCTCTTTGACTAAGGATAAATGTATGAACAAGATATGTGCCATTTAAGGAGATGATGCCATAGTTGAGAGTACTGTTCATAAATGGTTTGCTAGGCTCAGAAGACCAAGAACATTCTATCAGTCCTGCAGTTGTTGATGATGACTACATTGAAATACTGATTAAAAATAATCCAGGTCACACGGTACATTACAGAGATACTTTTGATAAACGGTCATAGGTGATAAAATATGGATTGTTTAACTTTTGTTTAATGGAGTGTCAACCCAGATGGGAAATTTTTACACCAAACATTTATTTATATTGGCTTGGCTCAATTATTATTTTTGTAGCATTTTTCAATTGGTGATATTTGAACACATGATTTTGTTTCAAACATGACTGAAATTTATGACATATATAAGTATTCTGAAAGGTGATATTTCAATTTTTTTATATTAAAAGTGAAAATAGAGGAAAATGAGGTGCCATAGCTGAGAGTACTGTTCATATGAGGTTTGCTAGGTTCAGAAGTGGAAATTTTGTCCTGGAAGTCTGAGAACTTTCCAACAGGCCTGCAGTTATTAATGATGAACAAATTGAAATGCTGATTTAAAATAAACCTGGTCACATGACAGGACATCACATAGTTCAAATGAGTATTGTAAAGTATTTGAAGACAGAGATGTGAATTACTAAAATTTTTGAGTGTCTCTGGAGTTATCAGGAAAAAAAAATTAATGGAATACATTTCTATTTGAAATTCTCAGGACAAACATAACAAAAACAATCCAATTTTGAAAAGGATGATCATTGGCAATGAAAAATGGATTGGTGGTTTCAATCCAAATGGGAAATATTACAAACATTGCCCCTCCCCATTTTATAGGCAGAAGCACACAAAGGTATGCTGGGATTTTTTCCTAGCCAATAAAATACACCAGCTCTTGGTTTCATCTGACTTAGTCCTGGTCTGTCTTGTCATGAAGTCAGAATGCTACATTCGCTCCTCTGAACTTGCTTTTGTGTGTCCATCCCAATTCTTAGTTTGGGAACATTTTGCCATATTACTGTTGCTTTGCCTTATTACTATTAATTTGCCTTGCATATATTGTTTTCTTGCTTTATATTATGCCCTGTTCTTTTCTTTTTTATTGCTTTTTGCCAAATTTTGTCAATTCTATTTTGTACACAGTTGTTACTTATTTTGCATTTGACCATGGTTACTCACTCCACAGTTTACAACAATGTGAAGTGAAAGATATTCTGGGGAAAATGAAATGAGCCACTGTTAACTACTTCAAAATTCAAAAATATGATATTGTGTATCTGGTGCAATTGGAAGATCATTGTGTATTATTAGCTCTTTCCAGAAAATCAAATGTTGAATTCAAACTAGAAGTGTTCTTAATTGTATCAATTAAAGACAACAACCAATGCAACGTATCCAGAATTGGCCAATTGGGAGAGTGTCTTGGAAAATGAAAGACATATCTCTTTGCCAACCAGGTAGAAATTGGTACAGCTTCATTAGGATGTCCTACCAAATCCATCAAACTCATCTGACTTTGCACTGTCAGATTATCACTTATTTTGATCCCTACAAAATTCTCTTAATGGGAAGGATTTCAATTGTCTGGAGGCCTTTAAAACCACCCAGCATGATGCCAAATTCTGGGAGAATGGAATCATGAAGCTGTCTTAAAGATGGCAAAAGGTAGTGGATCAAAATGACACACATGTAGTTGAATAAAACTATATACAAATATTTAAATGGCTTCGAAATTTACTTAAAAAGTGCAGCAAAATTTTGTTCTAACAGAGTATCATGAAAAACACTTAAGAATTTTTAATAGCTTCTAATAAAATTATGTAGCATAATTAACCATTTTAATTCAGTAAAAAAGTAAGCTCAGAAACTGAGTAAATGTTCATTAAATTTTCACATTTAGTATATACATTAAATTGGATGAAATCTGTTTTATCTATTCTATAATAAATGACAATACTCTTGGGAAAGGTATGAAGACATCTCTCCTTCTCTACCTTTGTATTAAATAGTAGAGCAGCCTTGGCTGGCAACCAGTCTAGGAAAAAGACAATTCTGAATTCAATACTGGTTGGTCTAGAAATTCCATCCTGTGTAAAACCTATTTGCTACCAGTAGCAATGCCTAGTGCCTTGAGGCTGTGGCCCCATGCTCCACAGTTATAGTGTATGGAATGAGGAGAGAGATAATAACAAGCATTTGTTTTTGTATGTATGTATGTGTGTCGATGTTAAATTACAAAACTACAATATTTACACCCTTTAAAACCACATATATTCTAATTCAGCTTGTTCAAAGGAAGGTTTTGATAAACAATTTATTTCTATGCTCTTTATATAAGCAAAGTCACTCTGATGATCACTGATTCTTTTGTGAGATAAACTGCCAAATGGTGATAAGTAGTGAGACATCTTATTGATATCCATCCTCTCTATATCCCTTTTGCTTCCTCCAAGAAACAATGCTACAACTACTGTGTCTCCCCACTGAAATAAAGCAAAGGAAGAAATCCTAAGCAAATTTGCCATTGTCATTTCAGCCCATGACGCAGCCTGGGGTTTGAAGAAGCCAGAGACTACATAAAATGCAACATAATCTCTTTATATTTTTATCAATTATTTTATTGATTAGAATTTTTTTTTTTAATTTAATACACTTCAATTATGATGATGCCAGTCATCATAGATTTTGAGGATTAATCTCAGGTGAGTATTGTAATGGGATTAGCTTGAGTGCACACAAACTCTTTCTCTGATAGTACTTTTGGATCACTCTCAAAAAAGAACACCATGAAATTCCCCGACATTTACAATTAATAATAACATGTCACAAGTCAATTTTAGATTTAACCACATTAAAAAAAGAAGAAATAACTTGTAAAATACTTTATGCCATGAGAATATGAATGACAATTTAACTCTATACAAAATGATTACAGTTTATTGTAGTGCTTGTGAAAAAAATCTAAATATATATAAATTAAGATTTTATAAAACAAATTAGACAGATTCAAATTATAGCAGACATATTATTAGAACATATTCTATTAATTAATCAATTTCAGATAAAATAAAAACAACTTTTGTATTGAAAATTATTAATAAGATATGATATAGCAACTTAAAATATAATTAACTAAATTAAGAAGAAAGATTAAATTTACACAGCATTAAAAATATATGAAATTATTAATCAGCATAGTTTTTAAGTATGTATAGTTATTAGAAATGTTATACCTGTCAAGTAATACACATTTAAATAGAATCCAAGTAACAGTTCTTAGTAAAAATCCAATTTGAAGTATTAAGAGGATTAAGAAATCTTTTTATGTCTAGTTGCGTCCTATGAAAAATTTTTAATAACTGAAAAACAATTTTTGTAAAATCATTTCAACAATTTCTTAATTACAAAATTTTGTATTACACTTTAACTGCTTCTTTTCTTTTCCTTGTTCTTTGTGGAGGAGGGGAATATTCTTAAAAGCTAAATTTTGATCTCCTTAACCTTCCACAATATAAAACAGTTGTCATTGATCATTTTTAGACCTTCTTCCTCATTATTCAGAATGCCATTGTAGAATTGTACTTTGCAGAAAGATCAATATTTCAAGAGTTTCAGTCTACAAATCTAAGGCTTCAGTTCCCATGGAAATCCTAAAATTCCATCCCGGTTAAAAACTCCAATAGAAACATTTTTAATAATAATAATAAACATTTAACTCTCAATAAAATGGCTATATTTATATAAAATATTTTGTTGCATTGAGAAAAATTGAATCTTATTTACATTAAGACTATTGTCTTCATCTTTGTTGTTATTATCACAACATTTCAGCCACTGTGCCCATTGGGTACAATTTGAAATTCCATGGTTATCTAGGTCAACCTGGGTAACTTTTATGGAATTTCAAATTGTACCCTTTATTTAATCAATGATAGATTGTTCTCATTCCACTGTCCTAGGGATATCTTATTTTGTTCAGTACAGCTCAGTTTGCACTAACTGCCTCAGAGACTGAACTCACAATTACCATTCCAACAAATTCATGAACCAACACTTTAATCTACTACACTATTATCTCAAATAAAGAATTGAATTTTTATAAAAATATAAAGTCCCAAATGCTGTTTCATTTCGGTTTTACTTTAAATTTTAGATAAAGATTTTGATAAAACAATACCCAAGAAAAACTATTTTATTTCAGTAAAGAGGAAAACTACACAACAAAGTAAGTATCAAAGGCAGACAGGCTAAAGAAGAGTGGCTAAACAAAAAATGTGCAGAAATAGATTGAGTACTACCAACAAAGGAGATATGCATAAACAAATAAGGGAACTAACAAGGCAGAAGACTTGCTTGTCAACAAACTGCATAAAATCCAAGGATGGAATGCTCATATTAGAGAAGGAAAAAATTCTTCAGTGCAGGAACAAATATATTGGAGAACTCTTCTATGACAAAAGAGAACAACCGGCAATACACAGAATTACTGACAGGCTTAAAATTCTAAAAACTGAAGTAGAAGTCGCACTGGCCAAACTGAACAGAAACAAGGTGGCAGGGCCAGACAGAATTGTAATAGAGATGCTGACAGCCTTAGATGATTTTGGCATAGACAAGATTACAGAAATAATAACTGAAATCTACAACAGTGACGATATACCAGAAGATCTGAGCAGATCTATTTTCATAGCACTGCCTAAGAAACCAGGTGCAAACTAATGTGAACTCCATGGAATAATCGGCCTAATGAGCCACATAACAAAACTCATCATCCAAATTCTGATGAATAGAGTGCACAGCAAAATCAGTGTGGGTTCGTTAAGAGCACCAGAACAAGGAATGTGATATTCATGCTCAGAATATTATCAGAAATACAAATGCATAAGAATGTGCACCTGTGTTTTATAGACTATACAAAGGTGTTCGACAAAGTACACCACAAAGATCTGTTATAGCTGCTTTCCTGAATGTTGACATATTCAGGAAAGACATTATAATAATCAAAAACCTCTACTGGCAGCAAATTGCCTGCATAAAGGTAAAAAATGAATTCAGCATATATACAAAAATAGAAAGGGGCGTGAGGCAAGGATGTGTCTTCTCACCAAACTTATTCAACCTATACAGCGAGGCAATTCTGTGAGAACTGGAAATCCTACCAGAATTTATCATTGGTGGCTACACTCTTAATATGATACACAGATGACACAGTGATGACAGCAGGTACAGAAAGGAAACTACAAAACCTCCTAGAGAAGGTAGTGAAGGAGAGTGAGAAGAAGTGACTAAGCATAAACTACAAGAAGACAGAATGCATGGCCATCACCAAAAAGAGGAACCTGAAACGTGATTTACAGGTTGGGGATACTAAAATCAAGCAAGTGCAGAAATTTAAATATCTGGAAGTGTTCTGACAGAGGATGGTAAGAGTGACACTGAGATCCAAAGATGTATTGGGATGGCCAAAAGCTAGGCAGTGTATTTACAAGACAGGAGGGTTTTGTTGGTTAAAAAAAAAAAAAAAAGTACTGCTACATGATATCTGTCCTCCTTTATGGTAGTGAATGTTGGACAGACTCCTCAAGGATAAAAAAGAGATTCAAAGCAACAGATGTATGGTTCTACAGAAGGATGCTAAGTATGCCATGGGCCGAACATGTAAGCAATGATGAGGCTTTGGAGAGGATGCAAACAAGGAGGAAACATATTTAATATCAGAAAGAGGCAGCTGAAATTTCTGTGACATGTAATGAGAAAGAAGAGCTTGGAAAATCTGATACTCACAGGGCAGATAGAAGGAAAGAGAGACAAGGGGAAGCTATGCGTGATATATTTAACAGGCTTAAGCAAGTGGATAGCAGAACAGGGTCTAGGAGAAATAACAAAAAGACAAAACTTATTGAGAGCTACAAGGGACAGGAAGAAATGGAGAGCCATGATCGCCTATGTCTTGAAGGGACACGGCACATAAAAGAAGAAGATAAATAATTTACAATTTTCCTATTTTCTCTTCTCCCACCCCACAAAAACAAAAAAAGACTTGCCACACCTGATACACATTCAACAATACAAAAAGGTTGTTAAAAAATGATGTACCTTGACAATTTGTTGCATAGAAAACTGTCCAAAAGGTCCTCGGAATTCAACTTCAATTCCTGGTTTCATAGTCTGCAGATACTGGGACATAACACCATCAGGATAGATCTGTTGTAAACAATAATATCTAAATGAAATCCAATTTATAATCAGTATTTTCTTATAAGGCAATTTAAAAGCCAAAATTAATATCACTTTCTTAAACTATTTGATTGCATGCTTTCTGCTATTATTTCTGAACCTAATGGTATCTCTGCAATAGTCCATCAGAAATGTGCTCCTGAACTAGCTCCTGTTCTCTCTAAACTCTATAATAAATGCTTGTTGTTTCTTGCTTTCCAGCTTGTTGGAAATCCTCTTCTCTAGTTTCAACCTTTAACAACTTTAATACTGTCTAGCTATTGGACTATTAGTGTTGCATCTGCTATGTATCTAGAGATTCTTGAAAAAATACAAAAAAAAATCTGCAATGTTACTGGTCCTTAACTGACATCTTAGCTTCAGTTACTTTCCAAACATCCTAATGTAGCTTCCTTGTGACTTTTCATAATAATTGTCCTGATGAGCTTTCATCTTTGGCACCTAGACTTTATGAAATTTAAGTGTACTACTAGATTGGCACCAAGGTCTCATCATGTTACAGTTTAAATGGCTAGATGTAACCGTAAGTTCAATATTAACAGTTCATACTTCTGGCTTGTGAAACTCTTTTCTAGCTACTTGTTTTCCAGTCAACTTTTAATGCAATGTCAATCATTATTTTCTGTCTTCTTAATTCCTTTTCTTCTATTGTTCTCTTTCATTAATAATGTTTTCTTTTTCTCATATTCTCTCATACTCAGCAAACCCTTGCCTCAGTGGCTTTATTGCCTTGTAAACATAGCTTATCTTTAAAAGCATTGTTTCTTTGATCAGAAGAGGAGAGTTCATGCTCTGATGGGTTTACTATGAAAATCACATGGTCTGACTGTTTTGATCAAAGTGCTATATAGCAGTGGTCAAATCATTAAGAGATTAAATAAAGAGATAATTATTATGGATGTGAAACTGCATCTACATTATAAATAGAAGAGCTAATTGTCTGTTACATGCTGTCTGTATAGTATGAATGGTATGGACAGGTGGCCAAATGGTTAGAACAATTGCTTTCTGACCATGAGACCCAGGTTCAAATCTCACCATCGTTGATTTATCTAGAAGGTGAATTCTTGATGACTTGCCTAGGTAGGCAATCCAAATGTGTAGCACTTTTGGAAAGTGCTTAAAAACCATGCCATGAGTTGACCCAGTTCTTGTGAGCGAAATTGGGTGGATGGAACTATTTTGGAGCCATCACTAGTTGTGCTAGTACAAAGTCAGAAGTCATCATGACTGAGCATTAGAGTGTACTGGCCTTGTTTCTTGCCCCAAAACTCTAACTAAGATATGCTCAGTATAGTTCCAGTATAAACCACAGCTGTGGGTGTTGAACAAATCAAATGTACCTGAGAAGATGTCTGTAACAAAGAATGGATAGCCACCGTAGTAGACAGACATACTCAAATACGAGCAGCCAGCCATTATTATATGCTGCCTGTGTGTGACTTTGTATGTGCATATATTATATAATGTATAATGCATGTCTGTGTTGTGTGCAAGTAACTTACATGTGATTGTGCCATTTGATGTATGCACACAGAATTTGACTAACTTTGAAATAAGACATTGAAATAATATACTCTACTCAGTCTGGACAATCGCTACTCTGGGTTGCACAATAAAATAATAAGTTGGAGAAATAAAAAAAAAAACTTAATTTTTTAAACCCTAAAAAAATTAGATAATAATAAGATTTTATTGAACTTGGAAATTATTCAGTGATAAATAGAATTATTTTTTAAGTTTGTTTTTACATTTTGTAGAAATGTTTTTAGATCTGTCACTGAATTAAAATGTATACACACACACAATTTGAATGAAACTGAAATAAACATCTGTATCACAAGGACTAATTTCACATTGTCAGGCGAAAACCACTGGGTAACAAGAAAAGAAATTTGCAATCCTTTGAAATTATTTTTACAACTTCTTTTGTATAGGAAATGGAATATATATGTAGTATTTTGAATAGACAAACAATTTAGATTTGAAATGTGATCATCTTGCTGTCAGCAAAGTGACAGGTACCAAACTAGTATTTACAGAATGTAGAAAAAGAATTTAAACTTGGAATCAGTATTTTTTATTTCACTAATATGCAGAAACAATGATTTTGCTTTTTTTTTTTTTTCCTTTGGGGTCTGATCCTACATTTTCTTTGATTGACAGCCTGAGTTATGATAAAAAGTAACTAAAAAAAATCAAGAAGTAAATACCTGTCAAAATTAATAATATATATATATATATATATATGGGAAAACAATATATAATTTTTTTTTATATATCAAGAACAATTTTAAGGGATATTTAATAACAAAAGTGATGTAAACATAAACAAAAAGAATGTAAATGAAATTGGTTTGGTTATATATCAAAAACACATATTAAAAAAAATAATTTAAAATTCTCAGCATTTTTCTTTCGTGCATATGTATAATCACATCAATGTAAACATAAATTTAATCTTAAAGGACAAAACACATCACATAAAAACATTTTCCACTTGGTTGGTCATACTTTTTCCCTAATATATATATATATATATATATATATATATATATATATATATAAAAGTAAAAAATATATAGAAAATAGGAAAGAACTCGTTAGGTAAATAATCCAGAGTTCTTTAGTATTTTTGTTATTATTTTAAAAAAAAAAATAGTGCTCGATACAAAAGTTATTTTTAAATAAATAATTTTATATATATATATATATATATATATATATATATATATATATTATCTAGGTATTTATTATTCATACTAATGATAGTGATTATATTATTATTAAAGCTTATCTATAATTAATTAATAATTAATTATAACAGCATCTGTTTTTATTTGCTTCTTGAAAATATGTTATTTTACAAATAACCTAATATTGGTTGGAACAAAAGTTTGTAGTGTTTTCCAATGAGTCACATGTAAACACATGATTTTGTTTCACACATGACTGAAATTTATGACATGTATACATATTCTGAAAGATAACATTTCAACACGTCTTTCTTTACAGTTTTTATATGCATTGTGAGCTGTAAAAGCTTTTATGGTTAAAGTGAAAATGGAAGAAAATGAGATATAAGAGAAAAACACCGTACAAACAGTAAAAAAGATATGAACCATTTATGGAGATGGCACCATAGCTGAGATTACTGTTTGTAAGTAGTTTGCTTGGTTCAGAAATAGAGATTTTGATCTGGAAGACCAAAAACATTGATGATAACCAAATCAAAATACTGATTAAAAATAATCCAGACCACACAACACAGGACATCACAGAGATAATCCACATATCTTATATAAACATTGTAAGGCATTTGAAAACACTTGGATATGTGTATCATTACAATATTTGGGTGCCTTATGATTTAATAAAAAAGAAAAAATTAATAGTTCTGTTCTCGGTTGGACAGATTAAAGGCAACATTTAATGAAATGTATCTAGAATGACCAATCAGAAGATTGTTGTCTTCCATCAGGCTCATGCCAGACTTCATTGTCTCTTTGAAAACCTGGTAGAAATTGGTCCAACTTGGCAGGGATGTCCTACTACATTTGCATATACAACTGACCTTGTACCTTTCAAATACCACTTATTTTAATTCCTACAAAATTCTCTTAATAGGAAGAACTTGAATTCTCTGGAAACCTGTCAAAATTATTTAAACAAGTTCATCACTTAGAAAAAGCCAAGTTCTGGGAAGACAGAATCATGAAGCTGCCTCAAAGATATCAAATAGTTTTCAAACGAAATAGCACCTGTATGGTTGAATAAAACTATATACAAAAATCTAAATATTGCTTTTGAAACTCATTTAAAAAGTGTCATTTACTTTCATTCCAAACCAATATAATAAGCATGTGAAACAATATAATGGATATTAATAATTCATAAAATTGATAATATTGATCTAGCTTCTGATATAATATTCGTGAAAAGATTAAATTTACAGGCGTATGTAGAGGATGCATTCATCTCGGACAGGTTCTGATGGATAAGGGACACAAGTTCAAATTATGTTGGAGGATATGTATACTTAATTAACAGTCAGAGAATATAAAGCAACTTGTGTTGTCATAAAAAGCAACAATAAGAAGATGGAATGAATAATGAAAATGCTTAATCTAAGAAAAACAGAAAGTTGGTTCACTGAATTTTTGTTACCAAAATACATCTTGCACATTTATAAATCTACCATTTGTCCATGCATTGAATACTGTTGCCACATCTGGTCTGGTGCTCCTGCTGTGCACCTCGAGATTCTTGACAATCTCTAAAGATGAATCTGTAATGTAATTAATCCTGACTAGGCATCTTGACTTTAGTCATTTTTTCACCGATGTGATGCAGCTTCCCTCTGTTCTACAAATATTTTCATGGCAACTGCTCTGACAAGCTTTTTTCCCCAGGTGCCACGACTACATGAATTTAAGCATACTACTAGATTGGCAACTAGATCCCACCATTTTACTGTTGAAATAGTTAAATATAGCTGCCACTTCTACTCCAACAGTTTCTTTCTCGTACTTCCCACCTGTGGAACTCCCTTCCATTTGCTTGCTTCGCTGATAACTACAAACTTCAAAAATTTAAATGCAACATCAATTACCATTTTCTGTCTTTTTGATCCCTGTTTATTTTTTGTCCTTTCCTCAATCCTCCTATTCTCTTTCACTTCTTGTAACCCCCTGTTTACTAGTGTCATTACAGCCTTGCTTGGGGTGAAATGATTAAAAACAAATAAAAATAAAAAATCTAGATATAAGTGAATGTAGGTTTAAGCTTTATTTTCATCTTGCCTGAAACAAGTTTGCAATTTTACTGTGTGTTCTGAAGATGTGTAGGGTTGTAAGAGAGAGAGAGTAGGAATATTGACATATATACCTTACCAAAGATCAATCATAAGCACCATGTGATTCTACGACCTTTAAAGTAAATCTTGTTCAAAATGTCGATACCAAACCTTGATGTCATTCTCTTCTTTTGCCAGTTCATGATGTAAGTACTAAACATGTCAAATACCCTGGTGTAGGAATCAGTTATAACAAATTTAGTATGGGAGGGAAAAAGAAGTTCAATACAGAATAGCCTGCACTATACATAGTTTTACCCAACACTGCAAATTGCTACAAAACCAAAACATTAACCTAAAAACTCAAATTAGGTTCTTAAATAGCCTCGTCAGATCAAGACTTTCATATGATTGTCATGCATGGCACCAAATTCATTCAGAAATATCTAAACTGTTAGTTGTATAAAACTGCTTTCTCAGATAATTGGATAAAAATGGCTTTGAATGAATGAAACCTGTAGGTCTTAGCAAAGACTATCTTTCTTCAAACTATGTGGACTAGTGCTACAGGATCACAAACAAAAAAATTGTACCAAATAACAGAAACCACATCACTTGAGGACTTTCAAAAGCAGCAACAATTAAAATGGATAGCACATGTAACTCAAAGAGAAAATAATGACATAATCAAGATGATAACATTCCAACCTACTTCAAACAAAAGGTTAGGAAGGAACCTCCATCAATACCGGAAAGAGCAATAACAGCTACTGAACTTATTTTCCAGAAAAACTGTTTTAATAGAAAGATTTTATGGATTTCAACTGAAAGTAGCACTGGCTGCTTGGTCAATGAATGCCAGATGTTTCCTTATAAGGAAACAGTTAATATTACCATTACCTTATTAGACATATGGAGTCATTAAAACACTTGAGAAATGACAATCGAACATATATCATTGGATTAAGTACATCGATTTTGTAACACTAACTAAATTGAAAAATCTTAATTAGATTTTGAATAAATGCACAATGAACTATTTCAATTTAGAATTTTATTCTGTTATTATCATTGTCAGTAGGTCACAAGCCAATAACCTGAATAAACTTTTAGGAACAGTAGATAATGAACATGGCTTTAGGGATCCAAGGTTGTATAGTGACCTGAAAATTCAGTGAACCATTCATTTATATCACTAGGCAATGCTAGTTACAATATTGTTAGATAATAAATCTTATTTGCACTTACCTTAATAAGTAGTTCAAAATAACCCTTTGAACATATTAAATTGATTGGTGTATACTGACGATTTATTGCCTTACCTTTGATATAAGCCCTTGAAATAGAAACAATAGACATCATTATGATTAATATCTTCAGTAGTTGTTGGTTAAATAATCTGTGATATCAAAGGTAAGATTTATTAAACAAATATATCAAAACAATTCACTGTAATGATTAAAAACTAAAATCATATATAGTAATAGAATTGTAAAATGTTTTATTGCAGAAAAACATTGTAAATTACACCACTCCTCACTTGACGACTTAACTATTTAATTATTTACACAATTTACTTGTAGACTTATCTTTGTTGTTGTTATCACAGCTATTCTCATTTCATTGGCCATGTCTAGGGATATCTCATTTAGTTCTTATTTTTAGTACTGCTAAGTTATTATTCCATTGAGTTCAAGTACTCACTACCTGGCCCAGGGATTGAATTCACAATTACTATGTTGCCAAATTCATCAACCAATGCTTTAATTCACTAGGCTATTGTCCCATGGGACAAGTGTTCAGTTTAGAATTCCTTGGGGGTTACTCAGATCAACATACATCTGATGAATGTAAGAGGGCACAAAAGCTGAAACATTGTGATAACAGCAGAAAAGATGAAGACAATAGTCTAGATGTAAATAGTGTAAATAATGAAACTCTGTTGATAACTGAAGAGTGGCTGTATTTTATTAAAAAAAAATCATTGCACATTATTTTGCTAGAGAAATGTAATGTCATTTTTCTTATGCTCAAACTTCAGGTGCTTTTGAGTAACACACTTTAAAGTGACATTCTAAAAACTTGTATAGGAAATAAGCAAATACCAAAATCTTCATAGTATTGTTTTGAAAGTAATTCCAAAATTTAAAATATACAATTTTAGAACCAACCAATGACTGCAAAATCAAAGTTGAAGTTTAAACAATGACTTTTTAATTTATTTTTACATCCTTTCTGTCAGATTGTGCATTATTAAAAGTTTATACTAATGTTTAATTCTCTGAGAAACAAAGACTTTAATAAGTATCATGTTTGCTATTACATTCTCCTTGGATTTCATAAAGCCATTAATACAACACATTGAAGAATGTTTGTACTGTGTACCCAAGTTCAGTACTCTGTACTGAAGTATTGTGAAATAGCTGCATTGTGTACTCAAGTGCAGCAAATATTTGTACAGTGTATTGAAATGTAGTGTATATTTGTATTGTGTACCCAGATGCAGCCAACATTTGTACTGTGTTTCCAAGTACCATTAATATTTGTACTAAAGTGCAGCTATAATTTAACAAGTTCCAGTTTTTGTTGAAGTCCAACCACTTTGAATAATGACCTCAAGAGAACACATGTTGAAGCACATCTCTAGCAAAAAAGGTAAAAGTCATGTTATACCACAATGTAAAAAATGTGTCAAGCAAATTGGAATGAAACCCAAGACAGGAATTTGGCTCCTTCATGAACATTTATCAGAGAATTTTGTGTAACACTGAATTATTTGCAAGAGTCAATTGCATGAGAATGAAAACTGCCATTTTCTTCACTGGATTGCTGAAATGAGTTTTGTATTTTACCATAAAAAAACAATAAAGCACTGGTTATCACTTGATATCAAACTGATCCCATTGAAACCAGGTTGATTGATTAATTGATAGATTGATTTGTTTCTTACAGCTTATAAGCCCTTTGTGAGTTATTTAAAGCCAAACATATTTTGAATTGTAAGAACATTTTTTAGGACTGAATATTGCATTAACAATTTCTTGAGAATAGTAATGATTTTCTATTATTTCCTACTATTTAACCCATAGCTGGGGAAGGAGATAGATTCATATCTTTCATAAGTATATTTGCATGTAAGTGAATGTAATGAACCAAACTAGAATTTAAACTTGGCTCTCCAACTTCTCATTTTGAGACACTATTACATGTGTAACACCCTCAAAACAATTTGGCTTCCCCGCTGTGAAAATGATGTGAATTTTAGTGTCCAAATTGTTACTTGCACAATCTTAATAACAAAACACTCTGGTGACAGACCTGGCAAGACATCACTTAACAAAACAAAGGTAATAAAAAACAATTATTAAGATGGGCAGTTTTACCTCATCATCAATGCTTACTACATCTAACACCTTCAGGTTATCAATAGTTTTAAAAACTTGTACTGTGTACTGAAATGCAGTTTAGAAATAAGGAAGATATCAATTTCACTTTTTACCACAACTTTTTACTAAAACCACAAAATTTTATGAGAAGTATATAGAACAATTGCTTTTACATTAGTTACTATAATTACTAATATTGTTGATTATATTGTTATTAAAATTTAACTTAAATTTATTTTTTTAATCATTTCATCCCAAGCAAGGCAACAAAGACACCAAGGTGCAGGGGGTTACTGAGTATGACAGAATATAAGAAAAAGAAAAGCATTATTACATAATGAGAACAATAAAAGAACAGCAATTAAGAAAATGGAAGATAATGATTGACATTGCATTTAAACTTTTAGAGATCAAACACGACTGGAAAGCAAGAAACTGAAAGAGTTTCTCAAGCAAGAAGTGCAAAAAAAAAAAAGAAAATGTTAGTATAGAACTTAGAGTTACATCTAGCTATTGCAACTTTAAAATGATGAGACCTTGCTGCTAATTTCATACTGCATTTAAATTCATAAAGTCTAGGTAGCATAGATGAGAATTCATCAGAACAATTACCATGAAAGTGTTTATAGAAAAGCCACAGAGGGAAGCTATGTTACAGCAGTGGAAAAATGACAGAAGCTGAGACGCCAAGTCAGGACCAATGGCATTGCAAATTCTTCTTTAGATTTTATCAATAATCTCTAAATATATAGCAGAAACACCAGATGATATGTGGCAGTAGTAGTCTAAGCAAGGACAAATGGTAGACTTATAAGCAAATAAGATAGATTTAGGTGAGAAAAACTGTCTAGCACGACACACTGAACCAACTTTCTTAGTAGAAGAACCAGTAATTGATTCAATATAATCTAGCTCAAGAAGGCACAATAAGTCACTCTCCTGGTGGTTAGCATCAACCATATTGATGGAAGGTAAAAAAGGGTTCTCTCCAACAATTAATAGAGAGCAGTTTCATTTTGGAGGTGTTACAATTAAGAAGACATTCCTTGCCCCAGTTAACAACAGACTTTAAGTTATTTTTGAGATCAGCTGCCAATTTGACCAGATCAGACTGATTGCTTACTATTAAGACAGCAGTAAATAGTTGTCATCAGCATTACTCAAGTATTCACACAAACTGAATATAGACAACTTCCCAGTTTTTGTCTAGAGGAGACTATTTATAGTCACCACTCTTCACAAATTTAAATTAGTCTACCACTATACAATGTAATACAATGAAAATGTGAAAGTATATAGTGAATATCAATAATTTCCAAAATTGATAATGCTGATCAAGCTTCTGATAGAAGAGTTTATACAAATATTAAATTTAGAAGCATGTCAATAGGATACATTTGAACTCAACTTCCTTCACAGAAGAATTTGTAATAGCCCACTCTTAATGATGTATTAATATGAAGGTTTTTAAGAGGGGTATGAATGAATGAATAAAAATCACCAGTGGCATTCTTGCTTAAAATGGTATTTGATGATTTAACCAACGTTAAATTTTTACCAAAAATTTGATTTTGTAGGTTTTAACAGTTTATAAGTTGTAAACCGAAAATCAGAGAAAAAGACACTTTCAATGTTCAAGAAGTAACTGACGAACTATTATATGCCTAATGTAAATGCATTGCTAATGATTTTACTATAGAAATGTATTGAAAATCAGGAAGATAAGGATTGTCAATTGTCAGGAACTGATTACTGATTGAGTAGAATTATAATAATGCTGACTTTATAATTTGATTCATTATGATTGACTTGAAGGATGTGCAAGTGGTATAATGGTGAGTGACTTGGAAAGAGAAATCAGCGAGTCGAGTTCACATTCGTATAAATACCCTTGGGAAATGCATGAATCCATCTTTTCTCTCCCCAGTTATGAGTTAAGTAGCAGGGCTGATAGGGATCTCTTGCCTTAAGGTGGCAACCAATCTAAGAAAAGGAAAACCCTGCATTCAAAACTAGCTTGAAGAGAGATAGGCTCCATCAGGCTATCTTGTCCTAGATACACCACATCTGCTATGGCTGCACTACATGTGGTGCACATATGACCTTAATGGGTTATGAAACTTCTATGTTTAAGTAACTGTTCTGTTAAATGTGGGATTACATTAAGTAAAATTAACCATCAAAATACTATGAACCACCATGCCACTCTCATTCCCTTCGTATTCCCTTGGTGATATGTAAGTTCCACTTGAGCAGATTTTTCCCATGAAATGCTAACTTGTGGAACAGACTCCTAAGAGGATGCTTCTCTACAATTTAAACTTGTTCAAGTCTAAGGTTAACCATAATTTTCTACACATATCTGCATAAGCTGTGCTTCTTACTCTGTAACCCTCTACCTCAAGTGAGCCTTGGGCCTTGTACAGGGTGAAAATCATTGTAAAAAAATATTCTTGATAACCTTGCTAATATGCTTCCTGTGTGATCCTGCTATAACAATTTGAGAGAATAATATTTTTTAACTATGCAATGTATTTGATTTACAGAATATTGACTGGAATAGAAGTCTATTTCAAAATGGTGCCACAGATTGGTGTTCCAACCATGGTAAAAGCCAAAACTTGAAATGCTGATTTTTAAGGCAAACAGGTAGATTTTTTTCTACTTGAAAGATTGGTATTAAGGTGAATGATTCTCCTTGAAACTGCAACTATTGAGGTCACTTGTTGGGGCACAATTGGCTTGATATAAATGCACTACCATTGACAATGTGTTATGCTATTTTTGGAGTTAAAAAATAAAAACACACACACACACACACACACACACACAGAAGTGGTTGTGACAAATTTTTAAGCTCAAAAGAAGTTTAACAAAGGTTTTTTTATTTTTTTGCTGTTTAGTTGTTAGTGACTTTGGTACTTATGAATAATAGAAGCATTGGTACATG